TTTCTTCAGTTCTCAAATTGGGTGTGAGGCCCTAAAAATTGTCAAGATTGAAAGGCGAGTGCTCTGTACTCTAAAGGTCATATTTCCATTGAACTTCAGGGAAGGCTGGAGCTAAAGAACTAGCCAGACTGTCTCAAATGGGACAACGTCAGAGAAGTAAAGCTACAAGTTTAATCTGCTTTAAAATGTCAAGAGTTAACTTTTTGGGGCATTTTGTTTGCAGTTTAAATCTATACAAGAGGATTTTGTGCTCTTTTTATTAGTCTAGTTAATTTAGGACAAGCAGACTAGATGGTCAACCTAAGTAGAAAGCATCTTGTCTTCTGAAAGTCAGGTAAACACTTGATTTCTGCTTATGTATGTGTGAGTTTGTGCTACTGCCTTTCACTATTGAGTTTGGTGGTCCTCATATTGAAAAGCAGGAAGGAAAATAACTCATTTAAAGAATCCCATTTAAAGGAGAATTACTGCTTGGACCTGTGTACCTGATGGACCTTAACAGATAGAAAAATTGCCAGGCATGTAACCACGTGTGGAATCCTCCCAGCTCTTGGAGGTTATGATCTACCTAATCCTACTCATGGTTTAAATGTGAAAAATATGCTCCCTTAATTTTTGCTGTGATTTCTAGCTTGCTGAGACTCCAACACAAGCTCTTTGAACGCAGGATTCATTTCTTGGTAATAATTTATAATTTGACTTCAAAACAAATATTTAATTACTATTTAGAGAACAAATGAGTATCGAGCAAAACCTGTTATTAGATATGTTTGATCTTCATAGAACGGTTTAGGTTGGAAGGAACCATAGAGATCATCTAGTTCTGACCCCACTGCCCTGGGCAGGGACATCTTCCACCAGACCAGGTTGCTTAAAGCCTCATCCAGCCTGGCCTTGAACGATTCCAGGAGTGGGGCATCCACAACTTCCCTGGGCAACCTGTTCCAGAATATTGTTCAAGTGAATGTAGTTTGGAGAAGCTTTATCAAATTGTTGTGGTGTCACTCTACTGTTAATAAAACTATGAGTAAGTAACTGAGCTAGGATAGTGTATTAGAAGTCTAATGACTTGGAAGCCTCTTCAGAAATGATTGAGGCTTGATATACTAGTCACCAACACTCACTTGAGAACTTTACTCTCTAGATCACCTTGTGATTATTTTTTTGTTTTATTTTTTTACTGTATAGTAAGCATCTCCCTAAGAAACTTGAGCTTCAATTTCAGGTCAGCCTTCCTTAATGTCAATAAGGAAGAAACTATGTCCTGCAAACCTTCTCATCTGAAAGCAATAATAAACACCTGTGAATCTCCATTACATGGTCAATCTTTGTGAGCCATTTTTTCTGCTGCCTGCAGTAGCAGACAGCTGACAGAAAGGGGACAAAGCTCTGTTCTTTGGAGTGAAAGCTACGGAGGAGGGGAAATTGGGAAATCAATAAGAAATCCCAAAAGTCTTCAAGTAGAGTCACAGAGTTACGTTCTAGCTGAACTTAATTATGTCTGTTTTCTCATTGTTTTTATTCTCATGGTTATGCTACGCAGCTTCCTAACTTTGCTAATTGCTTAATCTTGATAATGAGTTGAGTAACGTCTTAGCTTTAGGGCTTAGGTTCCACTTTGGAGCGTGGACAGTTGCTTGCCAGGAGGATAGATCCAGCTTATGGTTTTGCTCTTGGATGAACTATTCTTATGGCCATCACTCAGTGCCAGCTGCCATCTTTTTCATCTCCTCCTTGTTGTGCCTGCCTAGTCACTGAGGCCCTAGGACCATCTTTTTCATCTCCTCCTTGTTGTGCCTAGTCGCTGAGTGCTCCTAGGAGAGGCCCTAGGAGAGGTCCCATCTTGATTACTGTGTCCAGTTTTGGGCACCTTACCACAAAAAATAGACATTGAGGGGCTGGAGCAGTTCCAGAGAAGGGCAACAAAGCTGGTGAGGGGTCTGGAGCACAAGTCTTATGAGGAGAGGCTGAGGGAGCTGGGGGTGTTCAGCCTGGAGAAAAGGAGGCTGAAGGGAGACCTTATTGCTCTCTCCAACTCCCTGAAAGGAGGGGGTAGAGAGGCAGGGGGCGGTCTCTTCTCCCAAGGGACAGGTGATGGCACAAGAAGAAACGGCCTCAAGTTGCGCCAGGGGAGGTTCAGGCTGGATATTAGGAAAAATTTCTTCATGGATAGGGTTATCAGACATTGGAATGGGCTGCCCAGGGAAGTGGTTGAGACACCATCCCTGGAGGTGTTCAAAAGACGGGTTGACATAGTGCTCGGGAATATGTTTTAGTGTTGGTTGGGGTTTTTTTTGGTTTGTGGGTGTGGTGTCTTTTGGTCTTTTTATGATTGGACTAGATGATTGTAAAGGTCCCCTCCAACAGAGGAGATTCTGTGATTCTGAGAGTGGGGTGCCTGCACTTGCTCCCAAAGAACCCTGTAAAGCACAGAAGGTCTGCCCTGGAGCAAAGTCATCATCTTGGCTTTTCTTTTGCTCAGAAAGAAAGGATGTTGATCCATCCATACCCAAACAGTACGCTTGCTGTCTGAGGGCATGACTTCAAATCACAAGCTCTTAGCCAAACTTTGCCATTCCCTTGTTGGGAAGCTTTTGGTAATGAACTTGGCTTCTCTGATGAGAAAATAAGCTGCTGTTACATATCTTCCTTGAATTTTTAGCCAACCTTGCCACCTTTGCTCTGGTAACAGCAATGACTGAAGCGTGTATTTACTTTGTTTTTAGCACGTTTTATGCTGGCTAAATTACTGTTCCTGCTTTATATATCTGCTGCTACTCATAGGCTTCAAGGTTTCCTCCTCTTCATGTGTATCAGAAGAAAGTACAATGTTCTCCAAGATGTTTCGAGACATCAGTATTACTAGAAAAATGTTAATTATCAAATTATTTTAGACTTTGATGGTTGGGGGGGTAGAGGAATCCCATCTCACTGAGATGACTGATAGAAGATAACAGTTGCTTCAAGTAAGACATTGTGTTTTCTGGGTTTACAGTATGTTTTCTGCTGGAAAAACTGACTTTTAGGAGATGCAGAGAAGTTCTAAAACAATTGTCTGACTCCAGTTTCACTGGAAAATAAGTCCCAGTTTATCCCCAGCATTTAGAACATCAGGTTTTTTTGGATGACAAATTATATTAATGGATTCCCACTGACCTAGAGCTGGTTACAAAAAGCCAAGCCTTTTGTAGGAATTAGCTCATAGGAATCTTAATTTTAAAATATTAAATGATTGAACCAGTATCAGAGACCAAGCCAAACACTCCACTCCTGTTAAGCCTGCTAAACCAGACTGGCACTTATGTGTCAGCAGCTCCTGTTATGCTTGTGAAACTAATGTGTGTCCATAGCACACACATTTCAGGGATATGTCCCGAAAGATGATGATAATAATATCTCCTCCACTTTAAAAGAAACATGTCAGTAGCAAGAAGGGCTGTTGAAGAGCCAAGCTGTGATTTCAGCCATGGTGTGGACCCGAGCTGGAGAAAAGTGGGGTGAATTGTGAAGGTGACCCCTATTTGTTTAACTATGAGTGGCTGAACTGCTTTGCACATCATCCTTGCCAACTGGGTTTGCCGTGATGTAATTGTTCTTTGGCTGCTTTGCATCCTTTTGGGGAGGACTGGAGAGAGGCTACTTTTTCTAGAGGGTATTTGAAGAATTTAAGGCTTATTTGTATCAGGTTCTCAGTCACAGTGCCATAAATATCACACTGGGATGAGCAAAGTGACTTCCACTCACTTTGGCTTCCAAGGGCTGAGCTTAGCTCATCTCCTCCAAAATTCTAGTGGGTGGCTCCCCAGACTTCCAGTTACTGCTGCCTGTCCCTCCTGTTTCATGCTCTTGGTGTCCAAATGTTTTTTTTTTTTATGCTGTATCTTGGACATGAGTGATTTCAAGCCTGGAGCCATCCACTCCCACCAAGAACACAAGAGACCTTTTGTTAAATACCCACAGGTCTTGGGATGTGATAGCAGAGGTGATGCCCCCACCTACAAGCTGGGCAGGAGGAGGAATAATTTTTTCCACACTGGTGGCTATCACAGCAGACAAAAGTCATGAGTATTCCAGGCAATCTTTGGCCCTCAGTCTTAATTTTAACCCCCGTCTGCACTTGCTGTCAAAATTTGAGCCAAAAAGGTTCACTTTTGGTGTGGGGACCACCAGAGGGCATCAACCACTGCACACCCATCAGTTGATACAGCCCTCATGGAAGCAACAGCCTCATCCAAGGCAACGCTTCATGGGTCTTCCAAAAAAACCAGGCTTATGTCCACCCCACCATCTAAACATACAGGACTCAACCTTAGGAAAAAAGGTTTAATTTCTCACACGGAGCTCTAAAAGTAACATATTTGGCAAGCAGCATGAATCTAAGTAGGATTTCATATGAATTGCTGTCTGCTGTGGTGGTTGGGTCGCTGTGCCTACTGGGCAGTGTTTTAATTTTATTTCTAGAAGCTGCACGAGGGAGGAAGGAATGGAAGTAATGGCAACAGGATTCCTGGAAGCCCAAAGAAAATAATCTGTAAACATAACTATTTAACATAGGCTCTTTGTTTTCACAGCAGAAATTTATCCTTGTTACTTTATTGCTCACTTTGGCTCCATCCAATTTCTCAAATTAATAGAGCTGAACAATTTAAGCTCATCTTAACTTTTAGTTTCTTGCCTCCTATTTTGAAATACTCCATTATTCTCTTCTACTTTTCAGTGCACTGATGAGCAGTGACTGGACTATTTTTAAATAAAGCAAGCCTAGGTGTCTAGGAGAGAAAGGTGACCTCTTGGGGGCTCTTAAGAAGTCACAAGACTTTAAAAAAAAAAAATAAAAATGCTAGTGAGACAAGCTATTATCAAGGAAGCTTTGGCAGGTCTGGATTTACTGGTATGTGCTAAGCTAAGAAATACACTTGTCCCTTTGTGTCAGCTGTAATGCAATGGGAGAAATTATCTGTAGTGGAATGGAAAAAAAAAAAAGAGCATCTCACCTCTTCTCCAGCTTTCTGCACTCCTTTAGAAAATATTTTTTCTGTGTCTCCAATCCACACGACCGAAGGCTGCAATTGCTTAGCCACCTAAGAGAAAACGGGGGAGAGAAAGGCAAGAAGTTGATTAAAATGGCTACAATTTCATAGCTGGGTGCTTACAGTTATGCTTTTGAATCCATATTTCAGCAGTTAAAATTAGCCAGGTTTATTTATTTTTTTTTTTTTCTCCAGAAGCTTTCAGGGCTCATGGGCAGCACTGGCTCTGCTCAGCAGTCTGGGCAAATCAAACCACCTCTAGTTAAGAATCTAACGTTAAGAACCAAACCCAAATTGGATCACTTTGACTGCTGATGTTGTCTTTCTCAACCCAAATTCAATCACGGTTCTGTGAAAGAGCTGCCTGGACTCAGAGTTCAATGGCAAATGATGGAACGTTGCCCTGCCCTGGGTTTCTGAGGGCAATAGAGATGGTGAGACCTGGCTGTTGAATTAAGAAACGAGGGTATTAATCTTTAAGCAAAATAGGCTGATATGGCATCTTCTGCTTTACCAAAGAGCGTTTAATCTGCAGTTAGCCCAAGAATTAAAATGGAACTTGTTAAATTTGAAAGGGGGTGTGTGTGTTTGTGTGTGTGTGTTTCTAAACAAATGGGCTTTCCAGCTCCCAAGTCAGAGGCACTATACCTCTGGTTCACAGCAGGATGGCAGCAACGCTACAGGCTTTTTCACATCTTGCACTCTCCCTATTGCTATAGAAACACCAGCGGTTTAAGACGTTCCGCTGCCAAATTTTTAATCGTTTTCCACCGGCTCCCGATGGCTCGAGGAGTCAACGGGCAACAACAAGAGAGAGACAGCCTTCTTCTGTCCCGCTCACACGCCACCACCACCCCTTCTGCCCCAGGTTGAAACTTTCCTGGGGGGGAAAAAAGCCTACAAAATCGATAGGTTGTATATACCATCAGCCCAGTGTCTGATGGACAGCCAGCGCAGGGAGAATTAAGTCATGAATGTTTTTCTTCAAACCATCAGAGTTCTTTTTCGTGCATTTCAGAAGGACCAGGCACACGTGTGTCTGTACGGTAAAAATGGATTGAAGACAGGGGAAAAGAATAGTAGATGAACTTGTTTACTCTGCTGTGCTGCCGATGGGGTGAAGTGGAAACAATGCCATCCTCGGCATGTGACGCTTTATTTGTGGAAACTCGTCAGTCCTAGACTATGTCAAGTGGTACCTCCCAAGTTCAGAGTGGTTTCACTAAGGAAAAATGAGCTTTTTTTTGTTTTCATTTGTTGGAAGGCAGGAACTCGGATGTTTAGCATTAATAATGAGGATTTTGAAAGTGAAAACATGGCATCATGAAAGACAGCACAAAAACCCTGCAGAAACTGATGTGTGGACCTATGCAGTTGTGTGAACGTGCAACTTGAGGGATGACTTCTCAGTCCAGCAGCATATTGAGTATGTGAGTTGGAATGAATTAACGAATTATAACTGTACAGCAATAATACCTGCCACTTTAAGGCCAGGTGCTTTTTATCTACCCCCCTTATTTATCTATTTTCAGATTTGGCACCTTCCATAAACCTGGGTGCACCCTGCAAGGGGTGAGAGGACAAGCTTGTGGCTTTCATTGAACTTGAGCTGTGCAGCAGCCTTAGACTTTGGGATTTTTCTGTTGAGCATCCTGCTAGTCAAGGGCTCAGACACCTGCACAAAGTGCCAGTGGGTCCTAATGATGGGCGCTCGTGGGTGAATTCAGTTATCTCCTGGATGTCAGTAAAGCAGAGACAGGGTAATTACCATTCTTTGTAAAATTAAGACTTGGAAAGAAAAATACAGGTGTAGTTTAAGTTGCTAAAAGAAATCTACAGCTCTATAAAAAAACTCTGTGTTTGCATTTCATTCACCCACACTGAAATCTACTGTGATGTGTGGAAACTCCTGACTCCGAGCCCTTTACTGAACTTGGCACCGCTAATGAAGGGATTGTCAGCTGGGGCTTTCTGATGTTTCTGATGGTGGCTTTTACCTTCCAAAACGTAAGATAACAACCACTTCTCACTCCCGCTCTGTGTGTGCCTGGAGAAGATGTCAGGAAGGAGACGAGGCACTGGGAAACTCTTTGCCTTGAAGTTCGGACTGGTGGCATGCTGTCTACTCGAGTTTAGAGACTGCCACCCCAAGAGGCGCTGTCATTGTGGGATCTGCTGTTATTGTGGTGTTTTCTCCCCGCTTTTCTCCTGTTGGTGACCTTGTTAATGTCTCAGCTGCTGATAAGGGTGATTCTACCCCTCTACTCTGTGCTTGTGAGAGTACTGTGTCAAACTCTGGAGTCCTCGACGTAGAAAGGACATGGACCTGTTGGAATAGGTCTGGTGGGGGGCCACCAAGATGATCAGAGGGCTGGAGCACCTCTGCTGTGAAGACAGGCTGAGAGAGCTGGGGTTGTTCAGCCTGGAGAAGAGAAGGCTCCGGGGAGACCTCAGAGCAGCCTCCCAATATCTGAAGGGAGCTCCAGGAGAGCTGGGGAGGGACTCTTTGTCAGGGAGTGCAGTGACATCTTTGCTGTGAGGGTGGTGAGACACTGGAAGAGGTTGCCCAGAGAAGCTGTGGCTGCCCCATCCCTGGAGGGGTTCAAGGCCAGGCTGGATGGGGCTTGGAGCAACCTGGTCTGGTGGGAGGTGTCCCTGCCCAGGGCAGGGGGGTTGGGACTCCATGATCATGAAGGTCCCTTCCAACTCTAACCATTCTCTGCTAACGCATGTGCTAATGTTAATGCAAGGAGGTGCTGTGCCTTTGATTCCTCAGGAGAACAGTCTTCTTCTGGTAGTTCTGCTTTGTGTGAGGGTTGGGGAGCCGTGTAGCTGTTTTGCAATACGTTCTCCATACCTGTAAGTGTGATGTGATAGGGGGAATAAGGGTGTGTGTGTTACAGAGGCTATATAAGCTGTTGGCAATGGTTAAACTCTGTGTGCTTCAAAGGGGACCGTGTTGTCCTTTCAGTGGGGCCAGTGCAGCCAGGGAGCTGCAGATCTTCTCTGCTTGGCTGAGAGATGACTTCGGTGGTTAGAAGCCCTCTAAGATGGAGACTCAAGTTTTAAATCAGACTATATTTTCCTTTGACACTTAAGAATGCTCGCTGTTATCATATGTATCATCTTTTTTTATCCCTTTTATTTCCCCACTGAGTAAGTGGAAATACAACTAATAACCTCAGTTGTGTCTTTCTCTTAAAGAGATACTTTCCTCTGTTTTCCGTTTTGAGGCAAGGATCTGAATGTATAAAGTGTCCTGCATATATTTTTCTGCTGTCGATACACATTTCTGTTTTTTTTTAAAGACACATCAGACACCCAGAATCCATCGGCATCTAATTTAAATTGTTGGCAGATCCGTAGCAGACTGTATATCCCTCGCGAAAGCGCTTGATGTGAATTATCCACGGACAGTTTGAATCCATGGATAATTAAATGTACTGTACATAATTAATTTGTAATTGAAATTTTATTAGCTTTGCTGCATTCAACAATTTGTCGGAGCTGCCAGCAGATGGCTCTTTAACCCTTCTAGTCCCGCACCCGGCCAGCAGCTGGAGACAGCTCTGTGGTCCTCACAGGGGCTTGATTTGCTCTCCAGGAAAATCATTATCAACATTTATCAAAGTTTAAAGAGTGGTTTTTGTGGTGGTTTTTTTTTTTTTTTTTTAAGCCTCAGGTTAAACTTTTCAAACTCGAGAGCCGGAGTTTAACAGTTCAATTGCTGCATTTTAAAAATACATAAACATGATTTTCGTACTGGACGTGCACGAGGCTCCTCTGAACTTGAAGGTTGTGGATGGAATTTTAAAAACCCAAGATTTAAGATTTTTCCAGAAGCTCAGTGCGTTGCCCAAAACTTCTCAGTCCTTTGTAGTTGGTTTGGAGCATTTCTGTGACTACAAACTCGAGCAGGGAGATGGTGAAGCCTGTGATTGATTTATCTGTGGGAGCCTCACCAGGGAAATATTCCAGTGCCACAGTGATGATGCCACCGTGTTCTGGTTTGTTAGACAGAAAGTATCTATAGATGCTATGGTCCAACAGGATGCATTTCATTTTTTTGACGTTAGAGTAAGACAGCATAAAGCTGCTCTGTGACCAAAATAACGCTGTATATTTGAGCCCTGGTGATATTTAATCCTTCAAGGGTCGGGGCTTCTAGCAGGCTGAACTGCACCAAGAGAAAAAGAATTTCTCTGGGGCGCCTGGAAAAAAGGCTGGCTGTACTGTTCCCAGTTTTCAACTGTAATGGCAGAGTTTTGTGTGGCATGGAAATGCTAAATACATGGAGATTTCTGTTCGTGTGCTACGGTAAACCGTACCTGGTTCTTCAGACTGCCATGAAAATGACCTGTCTGAAGGGACAACACAGAAATGGCTATAAATAAATGAAAATTAATGGCAGGCTTAAAAAAATTATATTGCTTCTAAAAGCTAGGATTATATTGTTTAAGCTTCTGTCTGAAGGGACAACACAGAAATGGCTATGAATAAATGAAAATTGATGACAGGCTTAAAAAATTATGTTGCTTCTAAACGCTAGGATTATATTGTTTAAGCTTCGACTCCATTGTATTCCTTTTTTTTTTTTTTTGGCGTAACGCTTACAACACTGTCACCTGTGACTATAAAACCAAACGGCCTGATAACGGAGTCCCCTAGGAGTGATGGTGGTGAAGTATTTCTGCAGCTTGCTGCTCTGTAAAACTCCTGGCTCAGCCCAGACAGCTGCACAGCACACACTGAGCCGTTGATACACGTATACCACTTCTCCCCTGGTATTTCCTCCCGGCCACCTCCTCCCCAACCTTTTAGCCTGGTCAGTGTTGCACTAATAACATTTTTTTTCCACATGTGGCTTTTTTGTACAATGTGCTTTCTGTGGCCCTGGTAAAGGACCCGAGAGGGGTTGTCTCACTCTGGTAGTGATTAACCTGATGGCTGCCTTATGGCCAAGGCAAGGGCCTTTATGGCCTAAGGGAAGGCCAACACTTGTCACTTTTATTGGCCTTGGAGTTCAGCCTTGGGGAACTACCTGCATTTTT